CTCACCATATTGATTGGCTGAAGTGCTCCCTGTTTACCTTGAGAGGGTTGGGCGGGATAGGGTCCTGCAGAACTGGGTTCTTGAACCCTCCAGGGACACTTTTCACAAAGAACACGATGTGACCTGCTCCTCCTGCAGTCCGGCACACGGTGGCCCAGCAGGTGTCTCCAGCCCTGTCTCCCAAATTCAGCAGCCAGTGGAGTCCTCGGTCCAGCAAATGTAGGGTGTCCACTCCCTGGGAAATGTTGTCAGTACACCCTTCACTTGTGGCAGTGGCCATGACCTTCATGTCCTCCCGAGAGGTCATGCGCATTTACAGCCACCCCAGTGTGCTCCTGGAGGTTGAGGTTCCCTGAAGGGCACTTGCTTGCCTTCTGCCCCTCCTCCTGCCTCTCTGCACTCCATTTCCTCCTCCTGTTCCACTCCATGCCCCTTCTTTCTTGATTCATTCTCTTGAGTCCAGGACAGGAGGATTTCTGGAACCAGATTCCTGATGGAATAATTCTTTTTTTAAAATTGTGTGACCTTGGTAGCTGTAAGGCAGAAGACAGTCATGTGATTCCAGAGGTCCCCACCCCCTCTCTGGGGCAGGAGAGCACCAAGAGGGGGTCGGCCAGGGCAGACCCAGGCTTCCAGGGGGGCCCTCCAGCAGTGTGGGCCCAGCCCTCCTCATTCCAGCCCTGCTCTTGGCCCACCACTCAAGGCTGCTCAGCAGGATTCAGTCATGCAGAGCTCAGGTCTGGAGCCAGGGTGCTGCTGAGAAAGTGGGTGAGGGGGTGGTGGGGAGATTGTATAGACACTGGAGATGCGAGGACCTCCTGTGCCTGGACGGGACCGGGTCCTTCAGGATGAGAATCGTCCAAAGAGAGAGCACGGAAGAGTCACACAGGAGATTTATGGGCAGGAAATAAATAGAAAAGAGCCAGAAGTGGGAAGTAAATTATATGCAGATGGCTGGGGTCTGCATCCTAATCCTCGGGATCTGTAAAGCAGACTTCTGCGCACACAAGGGCAGCGACAGTGATGGGGTGGCCTTGGGGAAGGGAGGGTGAGGTGAGAACTCAGGCCGCTGCCCCCGGGATTTGCCCCAACCCCAGATAACAATTCTGTCCTCAGGGCTGCAGTCCCCCTGGAGCCCTGATCTGATCCTTTCTCCAATGTGATGAGGAGCAGGTCCAGGGTCTCTAGGTCCTTCCCAGCCCTCAGATTCCATACCTGGGACCAGGAAGCAGCACCTGAGCCACCCCGTCCCTCCGAGTGGCAGTCACTGTCCCCAGGACTTTGTGTGCAAGACACTGCCCGCCTCCCAATTTCCCTCCCCCAGTGACCACCTGGCCTCCTTCCTGCCTCCTGATTCCTGTCCATTTCCCGTCTCCTGGTCAGCCTCCACCTTAGTAGTTTTCTCCAATATGGGGACAGCGGAACCACAACCATGGGTATACTGCGACCTTCCCTAACCAGTCAACCCATCAACTAATCGATCCAGCCAAATCCAGGGGCACCTTCATGGCTGTGCTGGGCCCGTGGAGAGTGACCACCAATTCCCCATATCATGTGACCTGTGCCTGCTCCGACCTTAGGTACTTGGGAGACACTGGACGTTCACACAACCTTGTGCTCCGCATGGGTCCCCGAGCCCCTTAGGGAGGGTTACCATGACATTAGAGGTAATGTAATTTATCCAAAGTGGGCCAGTCTATAGGCGAAGCAAAGGGAAAACACCCACAGGTGCAGCCACAGAAACACCTGTGCCTGCCAGCCTTTGCCCTGAGCACTGGGAGGAGTAGGGGAGGGCCCGGGCAGGCACAAGAAAGATCACAGCGTGGGCTATAAGCGTGGTGTGGGGAGCAGGCCCATTGCTGTGTGGTTGGAGCAGTGGGATGTGACAGGGGCAGGAACCCCAGCCCCACTGCCAAGAGCCTCTGTCCTGGGCCTGTTCAGTCCTAGGAGACAGCTCAGCGGGGCTGTGAGAGCCAGTGTGTGCGGCCGGCCCGGAAGCCTTCACACAGGCCTCTAGAATTCCTGCCAA